AAGGAAAGGAAAGGAAAGGAAAGGAAAGGAAAGGAAAGGAAAGGAAAGGAAAGGAAAGGAAAGGAAAGGAAAGGAAAGGAAAGGAGAAAAGAAAAGCAGAAAAGAAAAAGAGAAAAGAAAAAGAGAAAAGAAAATGTGACTCCTGCTGTTGCGGTTTGTTTGCTGTAGAAGAACATGGCTTTTTCCCTAAGAATTGCACTAACCTACATTTAATTATGTGTCCTGTCATTTGTCTGGGTTGCCTACAAATGTAAAAAGTACTGGGTATATTTAGTTTGGCACTTGGCTTGTGGCCACCTGTGATCAAACAAATTTCTGTGCATTGATTCAGTTTCACCTGGCCTGGTAAATGAGTTCTGGAAGAAGCACAGATATTGCCTGTATCCCAGTTTTTTGCAGATGAAGATAAAAAGTTGCTTTTCCCTCTCCAAAAACATAACCAGCAAGAGCTTAGTGTTATGTGCTATTACAGTAACATTGATGGGATGCAGAGCCAGACAAGTACAGCTGTTGTCTGTGCTACAAATAAATGTTTTTAATAAGACTCTTAAAAGCTTAGCCAATAAAGGCATAAACCTGTTAATAATTGATATTTATTACATTGTAGTCCTTACAGTGAGATTTGCATCAGATAAAAACATTAATTATTGACCCAATTCCTGCAAACCAAATTCGAAGTGGCTTTGGATATCCATTTTCTGAAAGAGTTGTTTGTACAGAACACCTCCTGCCCACTGACAACCAGTGTAAAATTCCCCAAATTCTCAAGAAACAATTGCTAAGGACAATGCCTTGATGAGCTAGCAGTTCCCAGCAGCCACTTCCCAAACTGTTTTTAAACAGATTGTACTATAAATATAATGGAACAGTTTTACTACAGTGATGTTATTTGCTGTAACTTTATTTAAGTGAAGCAAATCTGATGGGGGGTAAAGCTAGGGGTCAAATATATCATACTTGGTTCTTTTAGTAACTACACATATTAAGAAGCTTAGATATGGTAATTTAAGATATCATGCTCCTTCCAGAACTGAGTGCACGAGCTACAATTTCAGTATTCAATTCAACAGGCAAGGGCATATATTCCTAGAAAGTAACTAGGAGCTGTATTCAGCTGAACTCCAGCCAAACCTCTAAATCCAGTCAGTGAAGTGCTTTCAAGCAGAGCTTGAGGTCCTTGGCAAAAGTCCCTGAAACTTGTCTATGAAAATGTTCTTCAGTGGTATGTTATCAGTTCTTTTAGTATACTGACCTAAATTCCTGTGAACAATACTAGATGATGGGTTCTTTAAGGAATTCTGTTATTATTTACTGGTTTTATTTTAATGTATGAAATACACCTGCAACCTGAGTGAATTTGCAAAAATGACTGAGTATTCTTCATTAACGTATGACTCAATTTTTCCAGAACACAGTAAAGATTCTTGATCATGCAAACAAACCCATGTTGAAATACTCGAATGTTTCAGTCTGGCTACTTACCTGCAAGAAAAAATAAGAAAGTAGTGCCTCCAAGACTGTGAATAGTCTGCCAACCCTCTCAAAACTGCAATTTTATGTTTTGTCAGACCAGCGCAGGCTAATATTTTAGATTAATCTGCTTCCAGTAGGAATTTCCAATTCAGACAGTGTGTGAGTGAAATTACATTATGTGCTGGGTGTGAGGAACAGCACAAACTGGAAAGAAGGAAAGGGAGAAGGGAATGAGAGTTTTACCAAACTCAAAAAGCAAGAAGTACCACAAGTCTCAAGAAAAGTAGCAGTCCTTGGCCCTATCCTGTTTTGGATAATAATTGAGATAAATAATTTAGCTTGAAAACTGAGGTCCAAATGAGATCCTTTTTCAACATTTTTCTCCTCTAGATAAAGTCAGATTTCAGTTAGTCCACAATGTTAGATAGACATCTTTCAGGAGATTAATGATAAATAATTCAGAAGTGCTTCAAGCCTAGAACCAGGTATTTCAAACTACCATGGACAGGCAGAGTGTTGAGTCCCAATGGCTTCCAGAGAGATGGAAGGAGCAATGATCTGCACCAAAATACCTTGAAAGAGTTTATTTTTAAATTTTGATTATAGTTGTTTAATTTTTGAAATATTTTTCAGGATTACAAGTAGAGGGCCTCTTCAGGAAGTCAGCCAGCATCCAGACTACCAAAGATGTGCAGAAACTCTACAGTCAGGGTAAGCTGTCATCATACCATTGCCAGTGGCAATGTAAGGGCTTTGTTCATCCTGGTTTTGTTGGTGAAGAAGAAATGCAATTTCTTCCAATTAATTAATCAAATCCACTTCTAACATAAAATAATAAGAGCACTAGTAGGGAAACCTGAGAGGTAGCAATAGGTACTTAATCACTTAATGCTTACTGAATAGCAAGTCATCTCTTGGTGTCACATCAGAGCTGTAAAAAAATCTGTAAGAACTAATGAAGTTTGAGTAAAAAAAAAAATTGGAGTCTATGCACTTCACCGTAGTTACAAAGTAGAGTCTCTGTGTCATCTTGCCTCTGGTTATGGCAAAGAAATATAATTTTGCCTAATAATTTATGAAATGTAACGAAGTAATTTTGATAGTCACTGACTTCCCTGTGAAGTCGTTTTATAAATTGCCTTATGGGGAGAACCTCTTTTAGGTAAATTAATAAAACTCTATACAAATAAAAAACGCAAAAACAAAATATCAGGAGTTACCAGCAGCAGAAGGCCAGGAGTAGTTTGAAGAAAAAGTAAAACATATCACTGAACACCCTTTTTGCTTCTTTTCCTTTGGGGCAAGTCTCTGAATTTTGATGATTATCAGGCTATTCATACTCCTGCTGTTATCCTGAAGACTTTCCTTAGGGAACTCCCTCAGCCATTGCTAACATTTGACTGTTTTGATCATATCCTTGAAATCACCTGTGTGTGTGTGTGTGTGTGTGTGTGTGTGTGTGTGTGTGTGTGTGTATGTTTGATGTTTTTGTTTTTGTTTGGTTTGGTTTGGGTTTTGTTTGTAGGGGTTTTCTTGTTTGGTTTGGTTCAGTTTTTTCAGTGCATCTATTTCCATAAGGTAACATCGTGGGGAATAAAGGATTTAAAGCAAAGAATTATAAAACTTCAGTTATGTAGCCTATGTCAGGGAGGAGGAGTTCATAATGCCAGTTTATAATGCCCTTCAAAGCATGGGGCTGGAACACCTGAGGTACCAGAATATCTGGAAGTTAGTACCTATTTACAGAGAATGAGATTTTGCCATCCAGGCTATGGCCAAGCTATCAGGAAACCCAGAGGGCTTCCAGTCACAAGCATGCATTTTCCAAATCAAGGATTCATTTGTTCACACAATATCCCAGGGCTATTCACAGGAAGGTGGTGGGAATTGAGGGGTTAAGGATTGTCACTCAGAACTGAAAAGAATAGGGGAAATTTGGAAAACAAATGTATAAATATTAATTTTTAGTGAATTAATCTTGTCCTGACTTTCTGGATGTGATTTTTTTACATTGTGAGAGAATAAAAAATGAGAACAAGTCTGAAAATAATCTGAGGGCAGTGCATTGTCTGGGAACACCGGAATGTTTTGCTTGGCAAAGTGCCTGTGAAACATTCTTCCTATGTAATTGTTGTTTACTTGTGTTTTGAGTTTTGAAAAAATATTTTGAAAAGTGGAGTTTGAAAGAATTACTCCTTGGGCTTTCTTGTGTACATGCAGTGTGATGTCTGCTGTATTTTACTGATGCTGTGGTGATATCCCCATTTTAAAAGATCTTAAGCTTGACAGCCAAGCTGGACCATAGCAATGGCACCTTCATGGTGAATACAGTGCAGAAGGCAGCTTTGAAGAGGTGTGGTCACAGACAGCTGTCTTAAAATGATTTGAAAATTCTCATTCTATCTTCTGGAAGTGAGTGTGTGTGTGTGTGTATATGAGATGTATCTATTACATATCTTAACCTGAAAACCCAGAAATACAGTATTTCTGCTCTACAGCAGTCTGAAGTGATAGTGAAAGTTTTCTCTTTACTGTCTCATTTGAATTTTTTAAGTGTTATTGATAGGAGCTGCAAAATAAATTAGCTGAGTGACAGACTTCAAAATCAATAAAACTTTTAAGTTTCTAAAAAGATTTGTTTTATCCAGGATTGCTACTCTTCCTGCATTATTTAATCTGCAGAAGGCTGACAAAAATACTTTTTGGGACACAGACTATTGGGTTTTATGGGTACTGATAGTTTTGCAGTAGGAAAAATGTCACCACAGTTTATCACAGTAAAGCTTCATGCATTTAATTCCGTGCTTTAAGAACACTTAACATGCTGCAATTTTGTGCATGCACACACATCCATGTGCAGAATTCTCAGGGAGAGAAAGAGAAATGCAACAGATACAGAAAAAGTATCAGCAGAAATGGTCTGCTTTAGGTTAGGCATGACGGGCATCATCAGATCTTCCTCCAAATTGGTGTTAAACTCAGTGCTAAAATAATTATCTGGTCTTCCAGATATCTGGTCTTCCTCACTCTTCCTCACTCAGTCCTCACTTCCTCACAGATATCACCTCCTCACTTCCTCACTACTCCATACACTAGTGCCAGACAGGTGTATTTACAAGTCCTGTTCTTCCACCCCACATTCACAATATGTGGGCTTTTTAAATTTAGTTTTTTGGGTTTTTTTTCCTATTTTGGAGTGAAAACATGAAAATGGTGGTTGTATAATTTTAGGTGCTGGAGAAAATGTAGGTGAAATCACCTGTTTTCCCTAAACTATAAATCTTGGGCAACTAAAACACCAAATAAATTTGTGTTATTTTGGAATATTATATAATGTTACTAAGTTTTAGAACAACCACCAGAAAAAAATTCATATTAAATCTTTAAAATAGCCATTCATATAAAAGTGTTAAATGAAAAACTTAGAATGCAAGGATTTTACAAGGATTTCTTTTATGTTTCAGGATAAATTAAATCACGTCTTCTGTCCTACTTTTTGATTTGCTGATTTCTTTTACCCAATTTCTGAAAAACCCGTGAGGGTGAGGGTTTGGGGAAAATCAACTGTGAACAGTTCTACATTCAGCCTTGTGACATTGGCTGTGCAGAAAAAGGCAATCACAGGGCTGGACATTTCCCTTCCTTCTACTTTATCCTGTGCATCGCCTTTTTCAGACTGTGGTTTTCAAACCTGCCTAGAATGTGCCTAAAATGAAGGGTCATGGTGTAGCAAGTGATCTCTGCTTCAAAAGCCCTAAGAGCCCACCACAGCAATCATGTCTGGGGAATGATACTGATTTTCACCAGTGAGATAATTGGCCTTCAGTAGCTCTTCTTGGGCTACAGTCATGTTGGCTATATTTTAGCCAAAAATATATTTCAGAAACAAGAGCATTTAATCCCTTTTTCTGTCAAAATACTACCAAAAAGCAAGATTAAAGGATAAACACATTGATATAATCAGCAGTTGCTATAATACCCACGTGCTCATTTACTTGCCTAGCTGAACTCTAAAGCTATTAAGGAAATCCTCATATCATTTACTATTATTTTAGCAACTGATATCTCTCCTCAATGTTATGAATAGTGTAAGTGACTTTATTCCAGTAATAGATGCATCATCTTAATGCACTTCTTAAGAGCTGAGCACTTGATGTGTTAATGAGGTGTGCAAAAGTACCCCACAGTATTTTCTGTAATTGGGAAACAGAATATAGTATTATTTTTGAGTAGGCCTTATTATGTCAAGCGTAGCATCAAGTGATACTACTGCAATTTTTGCTGATCCATAGATTTTCTTCCTTAATGTCTCAGGGAATATTTGCATTTGGAAAGGTCAAGGGAACATGAAACATTCTCAGAGCTAGAGATTTCTATTCAGGGTGTGCTGCACAAGCTTCCACAATTCATATTTTAACAATAATCCTAGTTTTTACCTGCAAGCATCAACCTTCTGCCTTACATATAAAAGGCAATTTAATTCTTCCATGAGCTAAGTCTCGAGTAGTGCAAGAGGTACTTGTGGCAATTTCATGAAGTGGGATGAATTGTAATCACTAGATACAGGTTTTGAGCACTCCAAATTTGATACAGGCTTGTGAAAGAAGAAAAAAAATCCCTATTTTCTCTGCAGTCTCAACCACCTTGCTTCCTTCTAGTCTGAGAGTGCTACAGCAAGACAGCTTGCACAGAAGTAACAGACTCGAATTGCAAAAATAGGTGCAAGTTCTTTAACTTTGGATTAGTAGTGATTTTGCCAGTAATGAACCCAGTGGTGAAAGGTACAAATTAGCCAGCCCATCTCCAGTTTACAGTCCACCTGCTGCTAGAGAAGGATTTGCAGGGTCTTCTTGAAGATGGAGTGGACTGAGGTCCCTCGGCAGAAATGAGAAACCAGGAGCAAGAGGGAAAACAAAGTCCTGTTTTCACAAGCTAGTCCCTGAATAATGCCTGTAAAAGATGTCTGTGCTTGCTCAGCTGATTACAGGAGACATGAGTGTGCACAAGTGCTCGTGTTGCACTGCTGCATTGCACTGGCAGTGGAGTAGATTTATAAATGCACATGCAAATTTAAAGAGCTCAAAGAAATCCTTGCAAAGAAGATTACATGGCAAAGCACTCTGAGGGTACAGGTACCCAGTTCTGAAGCCAAAAATAATTTAGTAGAAAACTATAGTTGTATTTTTCCATGACAGTCTAAGTCTAAAGAAGCAGGAGAATCTGTAGAGGCTTACATTTTCCCTACCTGCTGCTGAGTTCAGTCCCTGCAATCATGCCTGATGGGGGGGAAGGATGAATGACTTTCCTGAAAAAACATTGCAAAACTTGCTGAATTCAAATTGTCAAACCTGGACCAGCTAGAAAATGGACAAGGTTTAGGGCCATTAAGCTGTGCTTCAGATCTGTGCTTCAGATCTGTAACCAAAGGAGCACATTTAAACCCAAATGCAAGCTGTAATAAATTGTTCTGAATTATTGTTCTGTCTCAACCACTTGTCCAGTTGATAAGTGTAATTACCTTCAATTAAACCTTGGAGGTGGCTGGAGATGATGGGGCGTGTTGGGAAGGATCAGATGACTGAGCCCCATAGAGCAGATACAAGCAGCTGGCACATCTGCAAAGTAGCTGACAGTGGGGGGTAGAAACTTAAATTTCAGTCCGTTTATGGAGGTGTTTTAATATCTAGTAATTTTCTTCAGAAAGAGTTTTGTGGCATTCCTTTCAGCATTGTAATTGAGAAATCAAAGAGATGGTGATGTTGCTATATTTTTAAAGCACAGTAGTAATTGGCTGTTCCTACCCTCTGTATTTCACAGTTTAAGTTCATTAGGTAGTGTGGTGGCTGCTTCACTCCTGTGGTATCCATGAATCACAGAATTATCAAGGTTGGAAGAGACCTTCAGATCAAGAGATCATCAACTCAGCATCACCATAATCACCCCTAAACCGTGTCTCAAGTGCCACATCCACACACCTCTGGAACACTTCCAGAGATGGTGACTCCACCATCTCCCTGGGCAATTTATTCCAGTGTCTGATCACTCTTTCGGTGAAAAAAGGTTTTACTAACTGTTACAACTCGAAGCCATTTCTTCTAGTCCTTTTGCTTGAGGCGTGGCAGAAGAGCCCACCTGGCTGGATCTTCCTGTCAGGGGGTTGTAGAGAGTGAGAAGGTCCCTCCTGAAACTCCTTTTCTCCAAGCTGAGCCCCTCCCCAGATCCCTCAACTGCTTCTTGTATTCCAAAAAAAGCTAAGTGATGTTTTCCCTAATCCTCTGGCCTTCCTGCTTCTGTACAGAGCAAATGAAACAGAGGGAATATTTTGATTGCAATAAAAGGAATAGTCTCAGGAGGACCTTCTCCTCTACAAACAGAGTCACTTTTTGTCCCACAAGTTTTAGTGAGTTGAGGACTTGTGCTTCTGTCCTTCC